AAGAATGTAAATGACCATCTGCCTGCAAGGAGTATCAATCCTTCCATTCTCCACCATCTAGTCAGAGCTGAAGAAGCTCCTTGGATGAGAAGCAGAACGTCTTCAAGTAAAAACCAGAAAGTCCAGTTGCCTCTTGAAAAAATAAGCACCTTTGGGGCTTCCGGGAAGAGTTTATTAGGACCAGCAACATACCATTAGGCTTATCACTTTGGGACGCCCGTCCTGGCCTGAGGACAAAAAGACCCTCGCTTCCAAATTTCCCTTGCAGGTGGATGCTGTTGTAAGGCCGGTTATGGTTTCCAGAGAAGAAGTGCAATGTGTATTTTTTCAAGCTGTCTCCAGGCTTCCCTCTCAGTTCAATGAACTTGTATAGAAATGAGTCGTTGGCCAGGCCCACTTCGTTGATGACGGCCGAAGAATTATGGATCACCTCTTTGGTGAGATTCAAGTTGAAGGACATGCAAGAGTTTTCCCGAAGAGGTGTTATTTCAGTCACCTGGAAGGTGGGTAGGAGAAAGCATGTGAATTTGCAATGCTCGTTTCTTTTTAAGTTCATTTTTTAAATTTCTAACCGCTTTCCTCCAACTAGCCACTCGGTAGAGTTATTTTCAGAACTTAACCCTGGAGAAAAACATATGAGGGCAGGAATTTATTTAATGTAATTATTCTCATTTCAAGGCCAGCCAACTCTTTGGGAACTCCAGAGAGCTTAGAGATAAAAAGAGAAACAATAATATAGAAAAATAAATTGTGACTGAGCAGAAGAACAAAACACCCGATTGTAAACCAAGCGTAACTCTAACAAAACCATGCTATTCCAAGCCTGGAAGAACAAACCGGCTTCCTGCATATCATAAGAATGGGAGATGTATGAATAATATTGGTTAGGGTACTGCGTAGTGGTTAAAGCACCAGGCTGGAAAACAGGAGACTGTGAGTTCAAATCCCACTTCAGTCATAAAAGCCAGTTGACAGACTTTGGTCCAATCACCGGGAGATGGTGAGTTCTAGTCCTGCCTTAGGCATGAAAGCCAAGTGGGTGACTTTGGATCAATCACCAGGAGACTCTGAGTTCTAATTCTGCTTTAGCCATGAAAACCAGTTGGGTGACTTTAGGCCGGTCCCTCTCTCTTAGCCCAACCTTCCTCTCAGAGTTGTTGTGGGAAAAATGTGTTGGATATGTTCACCACCTTGGATTGTTTGTAAAATATAATGATAATAATAATAAAAGTGAGATATAAATAAATAAATATGAATAGATGAGACCAACATGTCCACCTTCTCCAGGATCTTCCTTTGATCAGCGGTCAGCCAGATGTTTCTGAGAAATTCACTCAAGAGTAAAATTTAACATAATTCTCGGGTTTGGTGACACATTATTTCTGAATGTCGACACAATCAAAACCCTAGTGGAATAAAATTCAAAGTCTATTTCAGCCCACATCCTGTTTCCTTCTGGAAAACCCTGTGAGGAGGACTTTACACCCAATAAACTCTGTCAACCTCCTACCTCCATCAACTGTGGTTGAAGTTAATGAGATGACTTGATTCTGCTAGAACCGTGATTCAGCAGAGCTGGATTTGGGAGGGTCGTCAGATATCAGGTGGCTACAGCTAACTCCTCCATGAGCGGCTCAGTATGGTTGGAAGCAGGGATCTCTAACCTTGGCCACTTTTAAGACTTGTGGACCAACTCCCAGAATTCCCCAGCCAGGCTTGAAGTCAACAACTCTTAAAATGGCCAAGTTTGGAGATCCCCAGTTTACATCATAGCAATAGCACTCTTGGACTTATATGCTGCTTCACAGTGCTTTACAGCCCTCTCTAAGCGGTTTACAGAGTCAACCTATTTGCCCCCAACAATCTGGGTCCTCATTTTACCGACCTCGGAAGGAGGGAAGGCTGAGTCAACTTGGAGACGGTTGGGATCAAACTGCTGGCAGTGGGCAGAGTTAGCCTGCAACACTGCATTCTAACCACTGCGCCGCAAGGGCTCCTACTAGCAATAGCACTTAGACTTATATACCGCTTCATAGTGCTTTATAGCCCTGTCTAAGTGATTTACAGAGTCAGCCTCTTGCCCCCAACAATTTGGGTCCTCATTTTACCCACCTTGGAAGGATGGAAGGCTGAGTCAAACTCGAGCCTGGTGAGATTTGATCTGCCAAATTGCAGTCAGCAGAAGTAGCCTGCAGTACTGCACTCTAACCACTGCTCCTCATAACATTCATCATAACATATATCACTAGCTCGATACCTGTGCTTCACTACAAAACCATGTGGTCGGAAAAAAATCTGGCTCTGCCTACCAGCATCCATCGGTATTCATCTGGCTAGCATCCTGTCAGTGTGTGAGAGAGTTGAGGGCTGTTTGGAAACCGAAACAGTATTTGCTGTGTGAGCAAGGAGGAGCAAGGAGGAGCCTGGGCGTGGCTTAGCTCAACTGTTCTGGACTAAAGCTGCTTGGTGCTGTGAAACTGAAACTGAAACTCCTCTCCTGTGCTTGTGTTTTGCATTTGGAAGAGATTTCTTTTCAGGTGGGGAGGGGGAGAAGAATTCCTTAGCATCGGAGTGTGTTAACAATAATAATGCACGAAATATTAATGCTCTGATAGTCATTTTAAAAAATCCTTTCTTAGTGAGCACCTAGAAGAGGAATGTACGTGCCAAATTTCAAGTTTGTAGGCTTTATGGATCTGGGATTTTGTGATGATGTGTGAGTGGCATTTCGCTTTTATATATTGATAGATTAGCCTAGTCAATGATGGTTGACTCAACCAACTATGCTAAAGTAAATCGGAGTAAAACAAAAAAACAGACATGGACACTTGGCTGACCTCTGTGGCTCCTCTTACTCAATAGCCATTTTACCTGGAAACTCTTAGGATCTCTGGGCTTCAGGCTGAGGCATCGGCTGATGGATTCATCTTCAGTGCTATGGGAATCATTTTCATGGAGAACGTTCTGCCCAGGAGTGAGTAGAGCCACAAGTTTGTCAGCTTTTTCTGCACCTCGCGCTCTGTACACCACAGCATCAACCAGCCCATCAACGGTCACCTGCATGTTGTTTCTATAGACAGGATTGGCGTTGCGGTAGAGCGCCACGGCGTCTACACCGTTTTGGATGGTGGACTCTGGCAAAAGAAGCGAGGGCTTGGGGGTGACTCCACCACTCCCTACAAGGAAGTAGCCCCACTCATTGGTTGAGTAGCCTGTCAGGTTCAAGACTTTGTAAGCCAAGTTGTTCCTGCCGTTGTACAGGACGAGCCAGTAATTCTCGAGCGAAAACGGTGCTTGTCCTGGGTAGAAGAGTTCAATGTATTCCGTGTCTTCTCGAGAGCCAGGATTGTCCGCATTCACTTCGTTGATAAGCAACCACAGGGGTGAAGTTGGAGGTTCTCCAGTTGTCCGTGGTTCTTCTGAAGTGACATCTACAATGAACCAAATCTTGTCACTTTAAACCAGGGTTCTCCAAACTTGGCAACTTTTAAGACGTGTGGACTTCAACTCCCAGAATTTAAAGGCATGAAAGAAGTGATCATAGTTTTGACAACCCTCATCTTATTTTTAATCAAACTTCACGAGCTAGTAGATTCAAAGAGAGACAGAAACCATCTGAAGACACTTGGTGAGCTTCAGAGTTGGGAAAAGATTTCAATCAGGCTCTCCACAGTCCTAACCCAACTTCTTGAAAGCATCCTGTTGGCAAGTTGATAGGACCAAGCTGGGGACTGATTGTCCCGGAGAAAATACACCTGTATGGTTGCTAAAGATCTACACCAGGGGTCCTCAAACTTGGCAACTTTAAGACTTGTGGGCTTCAACTCCCAGAATTCTGAGAGTTGAAGTCCACAAGTCTTAAAGTTGCCAAGTTTGGAGACCTCTGCTTTAGACTGAACATACAAACATTTCATTGTAGGGTAAGCAGCTGATGTTTTTCTTTCCTGATCACTGAAGAGAAAAAGGGGTTTACGGTCAATTTATGATCATTCATCCAGCAAACTTTCAAAAGTTATGACGGCACTGAAAAAAACGTGAATTACAACCAATCCTCACACTTATGACTGTTGCAGCATCTCTGCGGTCACATGATCCAAATTTGAACACTTGGCAATCCAGTACATATTTATGACAGTTGCAGTGTCCCTTGGTCATGTGATCGCCGTGCTGGCAGGGGAATTCTGGGAGTTGAAGTCCACCCATATTCAAGCTGCCCAAAGTTGAAAAAACACTTATCTTAAAGGCAAAGGTTCCCCTTGCACATGCGTGTTAAGTCATTTCTGGGTCTAGGGAACAGTGCTCATCTCCATCAAAAAGCCAAAGAAGAGCCAGTGCTGTCCGAAGACGTCTCCGTGGTCATGTGGCCGGCAGGACCTAAACACCCTCGAAGGCACACGGAATGCTGTTTCCTTCCCACCAAAGGGGTCCCTATTTTTCTACTTGCATTTTTACATGCTTTCAAACTGCTAGGTTGGCAGAAGGTGAGACAAGGGACGGGAGCTCACTCCGTTACGTGGCTCTAGGGATTCGAACAGCCAAACTGCCGACCTTTCTGATCGACAAGCTCAGCGTCTTAGCCACTGAGCCACCGTGTCCCCAAGTAACTTATCTTAAGGCCAAGCAAACAAAATGGTGAATGGCGAATCCTTTTGTGCTCTGGGGGCAGTGTGTTCTCCCGTCCGTCGCACTACTATACCTGGAGGTGTGTCTGTCCCATCTGCATTGCTAGAAAAAGTCTTCATCACTATGCTGTGGTTCTGGTTTCCAAAATGCAACCATTCTTTACTCTGCTCCAAGATTGAGAGGGCCTGCAACTCACGGTCCAGCTGTTCTGTTGACCGGGCACTCAAGAGGGCAGTGAAAACCAGCTCTCTGCCTTCACAGGTTAATACAGGATCTGTCACAAGAGGAGCGAAAGGGAAAAAAATCTCACTGTTGGTCTTAAATTTCTTTCCCAAATACTTTCATTACCTATTTTTCACTATTAGCATCGATCTGAATCTCTTTTCAGTTTCAATTCAGGTCTCTCTCTCTCTATTTTTTTTTTTTACAGTTCGCTACCTATCCTCAACACACGCTAGAAGATCAGGGAGTAAATCAAACTGTAATACAGTTAATAAACGTAAATGGCTGTTTCATCAGCTGAACTATTCTATTCAGACTATTCATTTATACAATTCAAGGAACCAGCCAAGTGGTGGGATTCAAATTTTTTTTTACTATCAGTTCTGTCGGTATGGCTTGGTGGGTGTGGCTGGGTGGGCGTGGCAGGGGAACCCTACTGCAAAATCCCCATTCCCTCCCTGCCCCACTAACCTGCTTTCCAGCTCTGTTCTCCTGTGCAGGACAACAGAAGAAGACCCAGCCAATCAGCCGGGACTCGGGAGGCGGAGAATAGATGGGGGCGGGGCCAGTCAGAGGTGAGATTTGCCGGTTCTCCAAACTACTCAAAATTTCCACTACCGGTTCTCCAGAACTGCTCAGAACTGGCTGAATACCACCTCTGAACCAGCCAACTGATCTTTTCTGCCACAGATTAAGCCATGAAAGAACACCACCAAGTTTTTCTTCCTTTGTTTTCAGTTGTGGTGTTAGGACATTTCCCACACATTTGTTTGTTTGTCCAGGGATGTCTTAGCCTCGTTTGTGAGCTTGTTAAAGATCTTACTGGAGGGTTTTTGTAAAAAACAAAACAAAACATGGAACCATGGTCTTTGTTGATTCTTTCTACTGTGGCTTTTTTTTTTTTTAAGCCATGGGTCTGAAACACTCCAAGAGAAATGTACCACACAGCTCACCTTTGAAATAGGCTGGGGAAAAACTGCAGTTGCATCGTTTCTCCAGAGACTGGGCCAAAGCTCTCGGTATCGTGCCTTCGTCCTGAGGTTTTTGATGACAACCTTAAGGTACAAAAGACACAGAAGAAAGATGAACTGAAAGAGACAGAGAAGATATAAGGTTTGTATCTTCCACTTGGTTTGCTTAATGTCTTTACACCCTCCCTCTCAGGTGCAAAGGCTCAGGACCTTTGCAGTTAGCAGAATCTGCATTAACAGAATCTTGCAAGTCTGAAAGTGGAATGGAATGGAATAGAAATAGAAATAGGAATGGAATGGAATGGAATGGAATGGAATGGAATAGAATAGAATAGAATAGAATAGAATAGAATAGAATAGAATAGAATAGAATATGGAAGGAACCATGGAGGTCTTCTAGTCCATCCTCCTGGTCAAGCAGGAGAACCTATACCACCTCAGACAAGTGATTGTCCAGTTTCTTTTTAAAAACCTCCAGTGATGGAGCGCCCACAACT